CCCTTCCCTTCCCTTCCCTTCCCTTCCCTTCCCCCCGTCAAATGTCCTAATCCAAAATTTCAGTCAGATTCTGTGAATCTGAAAACATTCTCTGTTTAATTTAATGAGCAGACAAGGCCCTTTGGCTGCATTTGGCAAACAGATGTAATTAATAATATTTCTAATATTTATTTTAATTTAATGTAATTTACTCACATTCATTTTTTCCCTTGCTAGAAGAACTGAAATTCCAGTGGTATTTTCTAGAAGGATATTTAGTTCCTTGGTAATTAACTGTACAGTCAGAAGTAGGTTATTACCACTCAAAGTTGATAATAGGATTTCATCATTTTAGTGTGATATTTGTGTGTTGTACTACAATAGTAACATATTTAAATAATTTTGTAAAAACACAGCAAAATGTGGGAGGGAGGTGGCTGGGTGAGAGGAAGCACCTGTGGCTGCTGGGTTGGTTGGTGCTTGATGTATTTTCAATTTTAGAAAATGAGTGCAGTGGGCAAAGCTGGTCTGTTGTGCCACCACTGGGTTATGGAAGGAATATCAAAATGTCAAATCTGATGGATTTGTAAGGGGTTTTATTGTTCCTTACTGCTTTATTTTTACAGAAAACACAGGCAGTGGGAATTTGGGGAGAAAAGTGTTCAGCAAAGACACTGGTGCACAATCTGAGCTAGGGTACATTAGTGACTCTGAGGGATTTTAGTGGAAGTAGCAAGAAGAGCAAAAGTAAGTGCAGTCCCATAAATATGAATTAGAAGATTTGGATAAGAATGACCTGAGTATTCACACTTCAGATGGTTGGCATGACTAATACAAAAATATTACATTCAAAATTGCTCAGATATACTTAGACTTTCCTTAACTTTAAATGGTTGTGCTATAAAGATTTAATTAAGTTTAAAATTTGATGTTGTAATTGGTTTTAAACAATGCACTTTGCTCTCTGTAAATATGATACAAATATTGAAAAATTTTTGCTTCCTTTGAATCGGAGGAATCTGTCACGGTTGGTTATAAAACTTAACAGAACTAAAAGAGTGGAAAAGAACTAAAACAGTGGAAAATTGGAGCAGTAGAATTTGGGATTGTAGCTGATGGCTGGAAGATCTAGGTCTGATCAAAATGCACTGGTGTTTATGGATATGAACAAACCAACCTGTATCACACTGGGAACTACTTGTGAACTTAAATTTCTTCTCAAATAAAACACTTGCCTTGCAGAAACCCTGTTCAGTGTACACATGGTTTGTGGCTGTGGTTTGATGGAATGAATTTGAGCCTGAAAATAAAATATTTGGGTATGGATGGAGCTGCTGGATAGCAGGAAAGAGCAACTCACCTGTTGGGACATCCTTGAATTTCCTGTACAATCAGTGGGGCTGTGGGGTTCCAGTGTTGTTTCCAGAGCTGTGGGAGGTTTGCATGGTGTGCTGTGATATTCACCATGCAGTGCAGGTTCTGCTGTGGGCTGGGTAAGGATTGGAGCTCATGGATGTCCCCATCCTTGTCCTTTGCCCCTGGGGTCCCCTGTGCTCAGGTCCCCATCCCTGTTCTCTCACCTGAGGCTCCCTAAATCCATCCTCACCCAGTGCTTGGGTGCCCATGCCTGTGTCCCCATCCTTGTCCCATCCCCAGGACCCCATAGCTGGTGTCCCCAGGGTTGATGTCCCCATTTCCAACCTAGATGTTCCCATCCCTGGTGGGTGTCCCCAGGGTTGTGTCCCCATCCCCCTGGTGAGTGTCCCCATCCTCAGTAGGTCTTCTTGTTTCCACTGGGTGTCCCTTGGCTGGATGTCCCCATCCTGGGTGGGTGTTCCTGTCCCCAGTGTGGGTGCCCCCAGGGTGAGTGTCACCATCCCCGGTGGGTGTCCCCAAGCGGGATGTCCCTATCCCCAGTAGGGGTTGGTGTATCCAACGGGTGTCCCCAGGGTGGGTGTCACCATCCCCAGTGGGTATTCCCAAACTGTCCCCACCCCCAGTGGGTGTCTCCAGGGTGGGTGTCACCGTGCCCGATGGGTGTCCCCATCCTGGGCGAATGTCCCCACCCCCAGTGTGTGTCCCCAGGGCGCGTCCCCTCATCTCCCCCCGCCCCGCGGAGGGGCCGGGCCGGCGCTCG